TCCTATGAGAATCTTTCCAAGATTTCCATGAAATCCTTTGGGATTTTAATGAATATTAAATCAGAGTTTTGGCATTCAGTCTGGAACCTTATTTGAATATAGTATGCATATCGATTACTAACACTGATTATTTGCCAATATGTTGAAATTGTCTCTGGTCTATTGAGGTACGAGTTGTCTGTTTGTAGCTAGATTCATTTTATTAGAACTGATTTCAATTTTTTCAACTTGTGAGTAATATTTTTCCAAGGTATTTGTTGCTGTCTTTTTTCTTCCTTTTTTTTCTTTTCTCTTCTATCTCCCTTGTTTTCAATTCTGCTTCTGAAACCCAGAGCTTCTCTCATATAAGGCAAATTCTCTATCAGATTGTCCCATCCTTAACCCCTTTTCCATGTCTCTTGATTATTACAGCTCTTATGGGAAGTTCTCCATGTTATTTTGGTTTTTAAAATGTGGCAAATGCTATTTTTTCTTCTAGACAACAGTCCATATTAGGCTATTATCTCATACTGTGACTATAGGCTCTGGGGTCTTCCAGGTAGGTTCACTAAGCCTTGAGGTTCACCACTCAGATGATTCATCACAAAGATGGATTTGAGGCTTTATGTGATAAAGAATTGTTAGTATGTGGTTTCCAACATGTTTCCTAGTCACTTTGATCCAATTTTGAGGTCATCCAGATGACCCCTCAAAAGGACTCTACTTACTGATTTATTATGCGATTTAGCAATGGTATCTAATCTAATGAGAGAGCTGGGACTTCAAGGGGCTTCCAAAAATCTGTTTGGAAGAATAAATCCATGATCCTTATAACAACCTAAAAGCTATAAGGTCAAATATGTAATACTTTCAACAACTACTATGTATTATTGCTAGTGAACTAGTATGTACAGTTTTACAAACAGTATCACGTTTAAATCTTTGCAACCAATATACAAAATTGGTAATTATCACTTAGACAATTAAGAATTGAAGATTTAGAAAGGTTCTGCAGTTTGTTGTAGCTGGTTAAGTGGCAGAGTTCAAGATCATAGTTTAGACAACCTAGATATTTTAGTTCCTACATCTTCTTATTCATTCTCACATACCTAGATCCACAGAAGTTTTATATAGTCACATCTTATAGATATATGGCTCAGGATGAGGAATAGGATAAACTATAATTCTAGGTAAAACAGTTTAAAGAGACCCAGTTTACTACAATAAGTGCAAATGCAGGGAGACTTTTTCTTTCAATCCTTCCTTCCTCCCTTCTTTCCTTCCTTTTTCTTTCTTTATCTTTCTCTTGTTTTTATTTCACCCCATTCTTCCTTCATTTTTTCCTCTTTCTCTTCATTCCTTTTCTTTTCCTTGTTCACGTTGAGTAATTTTCTTTTGATGTTAGGTAATTTTCTTTTGATGTTTTGTTAATCTGTCACCACCTCAAAATACTTAACTAGTTCTCACGGATGATCACTATAAACTGATGACTTGTTGAATTCAAAGTGAAGAGGTTTAACTACCCTGCCTTGGAGACAGAGTCCTTTTGTGATTTCAGGCTAGCTTCAGAGTTAAAGGCAGAAGACACTTAACTCTCTCTGTCCCAGTTTCTTTCTCTTCCTTTTTCCCTCTGTATCTGCTTCCATTACACTTTTTTTTCACTCTTCCTATAATCAGTTGTTCAGTGTTACCATAATGGCAATACACAATGAAAAAGCCTGTAGACAATGTCCTTTCCCTGAGTAGTTTCTCGGAAAGTGCAAATAAGCTCTCTGTACTGGTTAAGGCTGGACAGATTGTCTGGGAACTTGTCCCAACTTGACCAATTAGTATATGCTGTGGATTGAACATGTCTTGTTCCTATCCAAATCCATGCTGATGTTTCATCCCCCCCTACAAAATGATGTTGGTATATTCTAAGGCCTTTAAGGGATATTTGGAGACATAGCACCTCACTCTTAAAGGATTCATGCCCAACTGACAAGACTGAATTAGATACATGAGAAATTGACTAGCTAGCATAAAGACAAAGCCACTGCCACAGTACTTGAACCTCTTTGAAATGTACCACTTTCCCTTCTACTTCTCTGTTCTATTGAGATGCTGTTGAAGATGCTAGCACCATGCTATTTGTACCTTCCAGTTGTCAGTCTCATGAACCAAATTACTCTAATTCTTATCTAGCAACAAGTGTTTTGTTAAAGCAACACAAAAATGAACTAAAGCATTGGTCATACCTGCAGAGAAAGTCATGTAATTATGCCAAAACCCCTCTTCTGCAAGTATGGCTATGAAAAAATGTACCTCATAGGTTTTTCATGTGTTGCCAGAAAGCAGTGGCACATGTATGCTGCACTTTCTAGAAAGGTTAAACAATATTACTGTATTTCAGGCTTTGAGGAATGAGTGAGTTGGTCTGCCCAAAGTATAGAAAAATTGTAGCTCAATCTAGTCTCTAAAACACTAGAAATTGATTCATGGCATTGGCAAAAATAGTCTGCAGGGAAGAAGTATCCTCCTCTCAGAACAGGAGAAAAATCTTCATTATTGTTTCTGCATGGTCTTCCTTAACAGACAAATGAGGGTGAATATGTACATTTCTGAAGCCAAGGACTTTCTCAAATCTGCCTGTTGGTAGATTTTAGAAACATTTCTTACAACTGCTAAACTCTTTAATGTGTGTGTGGGGTGGGGGTGGGTGTGTATTGTATGTGTATTACATATGTTTGAGGGGGGAAAGGAAATGGAAATGTGATACAAGAAAGATTACTTTAGGTGACTCAGATTTCAATTCATTCATTATAGTAATCCCTATAAGGTGTCTAGAATCAACATAGAAGTCAGCAATACCTAGTTTTTTGCATTTTTTTTCTGGTTTATTCATCACAATGTTCTTCAGGTAGGTCCAACCAATCCCACTTTATGGATAATAAAAATGAACCTAAGATTACTCATAATTAGTTCAGCCTTACTAAAATGTGTAGAAACTTAAAAGTCTTGGTCTCACTAGGCATTTACTTCCTTTCTTTGCTTCGAATCTCCCCCAAACTGGTGCTTAAATCCAGCATTCATGGCACGTTCAGGAGACACCTTTTTATTTCACCTTCACATCTGGGAATATAATTCTCCATAAGAGGTATGGCTTTAGTTCATTTTGCCCTCTGGAGCTCTAAGAGGGCTCAACGCTAAAAATACAAGCCAGATGCTGTAATAGAGTTAAGTGCACCCTATCTAGAAATAACCTGAGCAAATTTAAAGGTAGATGTACTAATTTGGACATTAGAAACTAGTGTTACAATTTCAAACCACTCCTCACAATTAAAACACACTGCAGGAGAAGTACACAGTAGATAACTACAAACTGTTCATGTGACAATATACCAAAAAAAAAAAAAGTGCTTTCTGACTTCAGGAAATGTTACACAAGACATTACAGTCACCTATGGTTACAACGTTGCTTTCACTGAGCTCATTCAATTGCCCTCACTTCGGAGTGATTCTGCGATGTGCTCAGACACAGAAAGCGGAGCTGGGATTGCTTCACCAGAGCTAAACATGAGTCACCTTGGTCAACCCTCATCTGCCCTTGGCAGCTCACACCCACCTCGGAAGTTTGCAGCCAGTTTTCCCTAAGTTCACTGGTAGTTCAGGGACACAGGCACATTCAAACTAGCCTGAAGGTTAAAACTTTGCAAGTGAGTTCTACGTGGGCATAAGCCAGGAAGCCTGTGGTGCCAGGAAAGAGCCTACGATTTCCTCTTTCTCAGTCTCCTTTTTACATGCAATGCTTATCATTGCCGGCTATTTTTATTCCTCTGCTGCATCTCTTTTTGGATCTAAGAGAGAAAGGAATACCCCCAGAAAAGGAAATGAGACACGTGCAGGACAGTATTATTTTCTGCTCTGTGTGTGTGTGTGTGTGTGTGTGTGTGTGTGTGTGTGACAGAGAGAGAGAGAGTATAATTTTCCTGAAAGAAAAAAATATCACAAAATTCCTTCCCTGGTCCTACCCAGAAAAAAAAAGTGGCCTTAGAAAGATTTAAGGAGCTGAAGTAGAAAAGGGATGAAGAGGTGAGATGCGATATAAAATCTTAAGAGCAAAGAGACAGTTGACACGTGAGCAGGCTCTCAGCTACCGGCACTACCTGACCAGGACCAATGGCCCAAGTGTGACGCAGAGAACCTAGAAGCCCTGCATAAGCCCTGCCAGTACAGGCCCTTCCCGGCTTCACCAGGTCCCCACAACCCTTTGCCTCCACCCCAGGCCTTGCCCGCATCCACCTTTCTGTCTGCCTCCCCCTCCACCCAGCTGCCTAGGGACCAAAACAGAAGGAAGACAACACCCAAGTGTTTCATCCTCTCCTTCCTTCCAGCCTCTTGAATCATCTGCTAAAAAAGAGAAAAAAGAAAAAACCCAAAGCAAAACAGACCGTTTCCTACACTCCCTCTCGCGCCAACCCCGTCTCCACCCACTGCGCTAAGGACTCCACCCCAGAGTGCTCAGGTCCCGAGTGAGATGCTGGGGAAGGGTCATTGGGGACATTCCTGGTGGGGACCAGGGGACAGCAGTGCACAGCAGCACTTATGAAGCGCCCAGTTGAGAGCGCGGACAGCTGTTGGCCTATGACCAAGTCAAGGTTCGCGCCCCACTGGGGACCCCACAGGTCCACCACCCGGGCGCGCGCTCCCTGCCCCCCCCCCGCCCCAGCCCCTGCGGCTCCCGCGCCCCTGTCCGCGCGCACACGCGGCCCAGGCCAGCAGCACTCCGGGCGGCTGCAGCGATGGGGTGGATTTTTTCTGTGTCTATATAAGGGCGCATTTGCTAAGCGTGCGACAACAGCCCGTTGTGTCACGGCTGCTCGTTATTCGTCCACCACACCAGTGAGGCTCTTCTGGCAGCTCGGATCAAGGACGCCTTGCACACTTTTCTCTTCTCCTCCTCCTCTTCACCCCTCCTCCTCTTCTCCCTCCCCCCCCCAATCCCGATCCTCCCTGGGGGCGGGGGGGGGTGTTCACTTTACCTGATTCTGGCACCGGGTGGGCGCCGCAGTTCTCCACTTCCTGCCCCCCCTCGCCCAGCGCTGCAGCCGGTTCACCACGCTGTCACCCGGTGAATGGAATTATTTATTTATTTATGTCCCCTGACGTGTCCTCGCCCGCTGCAGCCCGAGGAGGAGGAGGAGGAGGAGGAGGAGGAGAAGGAGGAGGAGGTGAAGGGAGAGGAGGGGGAGGGGGAGGAGGAGGAGGAGAGAAGGACGCGGGGTGAGGCGGAATGAAGAACGCGTTCGCGGGTGCCCGGGAGCGCGCGCTGGGCCAGGGGTGCAGGAAGGAGGACCGCGGGGCTGGGCGTGGGCTAGGCGCGGGTTGGGCTCGGGCTTGGAGGGGGGTGGGGGTGGGGCCGCTACGGGGAGGGGAGGGTGGGTGAGAGGAGACAGACTGAGCATGCTCTGAGCCGCTGTCAATGCTAGAGGCGCTTTCTCAAGGATGGCTTGTGGCACTCCACTTCGGATTTTAGTTTTGACCCGGAGAGATCTCCGGTTCCCCATTGGCCCAGACACGTTTGGTTTTGTTTTGTGTTGTGTTTTGTTTTGTTTTGCAAAAGTCTTTGGCGCCTAACTTGGGAGGCAGGTGAGAGGTAGCTTCAGCTTGCCTTGTTGAGCAACCTCTGGAAGAAAGACTCTGGGCAGAAAGCAGAGGAACAAGAAAATCCTCATTAGGAGCTCATTGATAGAAAGGGTTGAGAGGTTTATTGACTTAAGGACTTTTGAGGGAGAGTCAGGGCTTGGAGTGGGGTGAAAGGGGGCGGTGGAGACTTCTCAGCCACATCTTACCCAGATAAAGATAAACTCATTAAGAAGAAAGGCACACAGAGCAGCCCTTGAAAGGAAAAGAAGAAACAAGAAGAAGAAAAAAAGGAAGTCATTGTGAATAGTTGCCTTTAATATTAGTTACTCCAATTATTTAATTCTCCAAGAAGGGATCCAGTTATTTGGCCACAAATAATACTACTGAGGAAAATGGTCTTTCCCTACATTTACTGGTTTGGTTTCTTTCCCTGTCTAAAATCCACTTGTTGGGGAAGTTAGAAAGAGGAAGGGCTGAAAATAAACATGTAAGCACATATATTTTTAAATTTTCTTTAACTTGAATTGCTACTTAGAGATAAAGAAACTGCCCAGAAGAATAACTGGAGGTTTGCAATTGAGAACTTGGCTTCATACTTTGTTTTCTGGCAGTGTGAAGGACTGAACTTAGCATTTTGTACTTGCTAGGCCCACACTCTGACACAGAGCTACAGAACTTGTTTTAAGAATTTGTAGTACAGTTTTCTACTAAGATAGATACTCATGGTTATTAATATATTATAGATTGGAGATTAACATAGAGGTATAAAAACCACTTGGGAAGTTCACATGACCTTATTTTGCCAAAACTAGACCAGGGACAGGTACAAAGCTTTAAAGTTCAGTATCCAAAGCTGCAAAATAGAAATGATGTCAACTTTTTATTGTTTTCCTAAGATGTAAGTCAGATGACACATGAAGGGACTGGAAGATGTTAGGAGAGTGTGACGAATTTGCATATCTATAGCAATATGCTTAGACTTAATGGTTCACCTAGTTTATTTAAGCACTTCAAATACCATCCAGACCAATGACTAACTCCGAGGCCTAAGCCTCCTAAGCATGCCCCACACCCAGGGAAGCTCAAGTGGCAGGTCACTTGGTCCGGAGGTCTAGGGGAGTCTATTGAGTGTATCCTCAGGGCTGCTCTGAGCCACTGAAGGAAGAAGTGGCCACTTTGCTAGGTCTCTGCTGCCCTGGGTTTTTGTATGTTTTAGGCTGGCCCTTCGTTTCTGGCTATGTCTGATTACCAGGGTTGTCTTTGGTGACAAGCTGTGCTTCTGGTCAAGGTCTGGTTATGGATGAGGGCCTGGCTGGCTTGGTGATGGCTCTGCGGCCTCTCTGGGTGCCTTCTTATCTACCCATTCCATAATTCTAGCTTCTAACTTCTGACTACTCATTTAACCTTTCACATTATTTCACAGCACACGTACATTCAATATATTTCTATTTAATAGCCTACCATATCAATAACACATCATGTCTGTATTTCATAGCACACTACGTCAGTATACACTATGTCAGCTTTTAATAGCACACTATGCCAGTACACACTATGTTAACATTCAATAACACTAGATCAGTACACACCATGTTCATATTCAATAACATACCATGCCAGTACACACCATATTAATGTTCAATAGCACAATATGCTAGTATACACTATGTTAGCACATAATGTCAGTATTCAATCATATTCACTACAGAGAGGAAACAATGTTGGTTATTAATAACTTCAAAATGTTTGGAACAAAGATGTGTTCTGAAAACCAAAAATCTAGGGCAGAATAGTCTTTAAAGAGCTGTAGCGTTTAATCCTAAAACCTGCAAATATTTATATAACACGTACTAAGTATTTGAAAAGGAGAGACTGTCTAACCATGATTATAAACATTTCATCTTAAGGTTAAAAAAAGGATGATAAACTTTGGATGAAAGAACATAAAGACACACTTCAAGGTCACAAACTTGAGCATTGGCCATTGACATATTGTTCCAGCTCAGGCGTCATTTTTCTATCCTTTCCAAAAAGGAAGAAGAACAAAGATGATACATGTCCTGAATTTCCGCCCTTTGCCTTTTCCCTTCTCTTTTAATTTTTCTTTTATGCCCGCTCTCCTTTTTAGAACAATCTTTGTTCTTGGCCTATAGTTATCCATCACTACTGACAGCATTAAGCCATACGTTAGCAAGTTTGCTTTTTTTGTGTATGTGCCAGTTCCGGGGCTTGAACTTAGCCTGAGTGCTGTCCCTGAGTTTCTTTTTGCTCAAGGCTAGCACTCTACCACTTGAGCCACAGTGCCACTTCTGGCTTTTTTTGAGTAGTTTATTGGAGATAAGAGTCTCAAGGACTTTCCTGCCCAGGCTGGCTTTGAACAAATTTGAAAAAATTTCTCCTAGATATCTACCCATACAGTGAAACAATAATAGGAGAAAAAAAAAGAATATGATATAGTGCCCTTTTCAGAAACTCATAGTCCACAAATCAGTTCATCAGTGAGTACATGTATGACATACAAAGCCGAAAATCCTAAGTGCCGGGATAGCCACAGCCTTCTCCCCAGCTTACCTCACATTCACGAATCAGAGATACAATTTCTTCTCACATCTTTCTGTCAATTCTCATTCTTTAAACTTCAATCTATATCAAACTTCTCTAAATCTTTCACCCCCTTTAGGGCCAGCAACTGGATCATCAGTTTGGTAGCATTTCAGGGACTCCTTATTAACCCATGAAGATTGATTCTAACTTCCTTTATAAAATAGTTTCTCATAAAATACAGTTTATGCCTCAGTTTGGATTGTGATTTTTTTTGGCTTCACAATATTCTTTTACCAGAGAAAATATTTTATCTGCTTTGTCAATCTTTTAGGTTATTTGAAAACAAAGATGGTTTGAGCACCAGTGGCTCACACCTGTAATCCTAGCTATTTAGGTGGTAGAGATCAGGAGGGTCGTGATTCTAGATCATCCTAGGCAAAAAGTGTGAGGGTGGTGGGTATCTGTCAATATAGCTACTGTTGGAAACACAAACAAGCAGATCAAATTCCTGATCCCAACAAAAACTGAGACCTCTTCTCAAAAATAACCAGAATCCAGGCTTGTCGCTCACCCCTGTGGTCCTAACTACTAATAAGACTGAGAGCTGATGATTGAGGTTCAAAGCCAGATGAAGTAGAAAAATCCATGTGATTTTTATCTTTAGTTAACTATCAAAAAGCTGGAAGAATAACTGTAACTCAAGTAATCAAGTGATAATGCTAAAGCCTTGAGCACAAAAACTCAGGGTCAGCACTTAGACCCTGAGTTCAAACTCCAGAACCAATACACACACACACACACACACACACACAGAACAGCAGGGTTTGAGGAATGGCTCAGGTGGTAGAACACTTGTTTTGCAAGTGTGAAGTCCACTATTCCCCACCCCCACCCCCAAATAAAATAAAATAAGAATCTTCTCTGAAATCTTCTAGTACTCAGCACAAATTCTGACTAATAGAAAGGTAATAATGTAAGGTCCACTCCTGGATGGGGAGCAGACTCCACCCTCCTCACAGCAAAGTCTCCACCCAGTACCTGCGTTACCTAGGCAACTGGCACACCTGGAAGAGGTCACATCTGCATCTGCTGAGGTCACATCTGAATTTGATGTGGCCACACCTTTCTCCGCCCATACCCTAGATAAGGCCTAGCCCAGGCCCAGACGCCCTCTCTCTGCTCTTTCCTTCTCTTCTCTTTCCCAGCTCTCTTAGCTCCTTTTCCCAGCTCTCTCTTTCTCTGCTCTCTTTCCCAGCTCTCTCTCTTTCCCACCTCTTTCCCAGCACTTTCCCACCTCTTTTCCCAGCTATCTCTCTTTCTCAGGTCTTTCCCAGGCTTTTCCCAGCCTTGTGGAGTGCCAACCTGGCCTGGTCCCGCCAGGTCTACTGAATAAACCTACCCCTTACCTGAATACCATGTGCGTGCTGCTGTTCTTACTTGGCTACCTCTCTTTAAAAACCTAACAAATAATGGCTGGTTCTTGGTGCTCACAAAATCCATTGTCCATATCGTTCCTTATTCCTTGGCTTCCTTCCCACTTATATTGGAAGCTTGTATTTTTACTTCCCTTTAAAAAAAATTGGTCGTGGGGCTTGAACTATGGACCTGGGTGCTGTCCTCGAACTCTTTGGCTCAAGGAGAGTGGACTAACACTTAAGCCACACCACCACTTCCAGAAGCTTGTGTTTTTCTAAGTACTAGAGTATGAGTTGAAATGGCTTATAATTTTTAGGTAATGGGAGTTGAGGCTTCCTGGACTTACTTCTGCCTCTCTTCCTTGCAGTACTGTATTTCTGATGGAGTAGTGACAAAATGGAATTGCTTGAAGAAAAACCAGTTAGCTTGTGTAAGAGGAAAATGCTGAAATTTTACTCTTTATTTATCATGAAAACATATTCTGAACAATACAGTCTTTAATAAGATTTTAAATAAT